GATGACCAAAAATAGTTCACAAAAATAAGCACATGACACTTCAAAACAACTTACCTTCTGGATTGAGATCTTGTGCTTCACAAATTTCCAGCACACCAAGGTTTGGACTTTTCAAAAGGAGCTCAAAAACCTCCTCATCCACTTCAGTCTTCGAGTCATCAAAGACTTTTAAGTCCAAGGTTGGGATGCTGAACTTTTTTGCAGCTGTGAACATAGCAAATTATTTATTTATTCTATATTTGAACATATGCAAATAACAATTAAAATAAGACATAAAAAGTAAAATTAAATAAAAAAAATAAATAAATCTGAAAAGTTGGTAAAGCATCTATTTTGGCACCATTTCCAAAACGTTTTTGATAAACCTAATATGTGAAAATGCTGTAAACTTGTTTTTTTTTGCACTCACCACATTCCAAAAAAGAACTGTATGTCAGCTGGCCTTCAAAACAGATGTATTTCTGTCGATCTCTGTATTTGACACGCACAGCTTGCATCCTGCATTATGTAAAAAAATATATATTTTCAATAATCATATAAACATACTTATCAAAATGAATAAAAAATTAAGATAAAAGATTGAAACCATCATGGGGGTGGCTAACAACTATCCTTAATGGGCTAGGCTCTTTACTTGAATTTAGCCAATCACCACAGCTAAGACGGGAAAAACATATCAGCTCCATACAACTCGATGGAAACGGGGTTTATGAACAAAAAAGTCAGTCAAAAATGTTTTACTGACAACTTGCATAATTTACATACAAAGCACGACTTTAATTCTGTTTTTTTTATCGCTGCTCTATGTTCAAGAAACGTTACTAGCATAGTCCTCCCGCGCCATTTTCTGGGCGGAACCCTGGCTCCACATGCTAGAAGAGCCAGCTTCGACTGTACAGCTAGCTCCTCTTTTAAACTCCGTTCCTCAGCTTAAAAATAGCGACAGCCTTGACTTGTGAAAATTAAAAAAATGGACGTAGATTGTACAACATTGATGTTTTTTTTCTGCTTACATTGTTGTAAACGGCTAAATTAAGTTAGCTGAAGCACACATGCTAACTAGTTAGCCAACCATGTCAATTCCTCGCTGCACCCCTCCTTCCCCCACGAACACACAGCAGCACGTCATCTTTCCACTAGAGATTAATAGTCTTAATAATAAAAATAAATCATACAACCCCACGTAAAATATATCTACAACTCATTTGGGGACTTACCTGGCACACAGCTAACCGTCGCCTCCGTTCCAATGCGGGATAACAAGATGGTGGAAGAAACGAAACTTAAGGAACTTCAGTGGGCGTGTTCTTGTTTTACTCTGTTATGATTTACTCTATTTTTTTGTTCCGATTCTATTGACCAATTGAAATGATTTCACTCTATAATGTATAAAAATGACACTTTCAGATGAAAATAATGTTAACTCCGAAAAAATTACTCTCCTATTTTTCCTGTGTACCAAGCACAGACTGGTCTTTTGGATTGGCAGTCAGAAATAACTCTGA